AGTGCCAGAACACAAGAAGTTCTCCCTGACCATCAAGGAGCATTTCTATGCTGCACAAGTGAACAACCACTGGCACAGGTTGCCAGGAGAGGCTGTAGAGTCGTCATCCTGGGGCATTTTGAAAATCCATCTGGATGATGTCCTGAGCACCCCATTGTAGGTGGCCCTCCTTCAGTGGAGTAGGGGCAATCAGATCACCTCCAGAGGTCCCTTCCAACCTCAACTACTCTGTGACTCACAAGTAGTGTTTTTAGCAGTGGATTCCTTAGGATTATTGAGCATACTTCAGACTAATGTTTGCTCTGGGAGAGCCTTGCATTTAAGCCTGCAGTTAAGCAAGAACCTAAGATCTTGTGACCTGACAGCAGGGAAAACTGGTGACAAAGCTAGAAGTAGTGTTTTTGTTGTTTGTTTTTTTTTTCCATTTATTTCCACGCCAATGATCTGATAAATTGCCCCAGCAAGCTTTCTCTTTAGAGAAGAGATAAAATAGTAAGTAGAACTGGCCTGGCATTCAATGTCTCATCAACTCATGATGGCTCTTGTAAATCCTTTTGCCTAATTGCTGATCCTTCATTTCACATATGCAGCTACAATTTCTTTATTTTGTATTTATTTTCTGTTGTCAATATGTGGCATTCATTTGATAAATCTTGTGTAAACAATTGTTCATAGCTATATCTCTGTAGTCTTTGCCAGTTCCAGATCAGTATCTGAAGAGTAGATCAGCATCCACCCACAATCTTGAATGTAGTAATAATTCTGTAACCTGTGTTTTCTAACACTATGTGATTTTATTTTTCTTCCTCTCAAGGTAGAAGAGTGTGACTTCTGTGCTGTTTGTCAGCTTGAAACAGCTTTAAACTTGTAAACGGGCATATTGTTCTCATCGACAGCTGGTCAGAGGTGAGAAGAAACTACCATACAACTGGCACAAATCTAGATTCCATCAAAAAAGAAGTAGGCAGAACCAATGCTGTTTTTATCTGGAACTGGGTGAAAGTAGACAGTAAGTCAGAACCCTTCAGCACTCAAATGAGCACTGTATCCAGGCTCGGATCTTCTTTGGCAGATCGCTCAGGACAGTAAATCTTATGCGCAATGTGTCATTCCAGCATATCTCTATCTAAATGTGGTTAATCCACCTTTTTTTTTTTTTTCCTAAGAGCATATCTATCTTACTTATTTCTGCACACCCTTCCTCTGTGATGCGCCCTTTTCTTCAAATCCTCATGCTAGCCCATAAATACAATATTGTCTAATTCACATGAATTATCTCAAATGGTCATTCAAAGGATTAGGCTCAGATTAAAACCCTACTGATTATATGATTTAAGTAGACTCAAAATGTCATTGTCAGATGTCTTTCACCTCTCCAGCTGTCCTTAGTGAACATGAGTCAGAAGCTGAGTTCTATCCAGCTGAACTTGGAAGTCTTAACTATTAAACCGTTACGATAATTTATTTGGCAGTTTAAAGATGTGGACTGGTGCATTACTGAGGTGACAGCAGCCTTTTTGAAATGCTGCCTCGTTTCATTTATTTATTTACTTATTTATTTAATTGAAGAGAGAGTCTCTCAGGCCTTTGTTTTCTTCTATACACTGAAAATGGTATTTTCTGGTAGAACTGAGCTTACCATGGGCTGATAATGTTGGTTTTGTTGTTGTTGTTGTTTTGAAATGTCCATGTAAATTCCTCAGAATGGTTGTGTGTGTTTTGTATACTGCCTATGAAGAAACAAGAAATCGACACCTTTCCCCAAATACCACAATTTACATACAGGATGTATCTCTCTTGTTCAGGGCTGCTCTGTAACATTCCATTTTGGAGAGATGAGTGTTTTTTTATAAGTGTAACAGAGCATGTCAATACCTGGGACCTCTAATTAATCCTTGGAATTGTGTGGGTTTTTTTTTCACTTTTGAACTTCTGGTTAGCTTCTTGTTTTATCCCTTGCTGACATTTCTGTAATAAAGTAGCACTTGGATGTTGTTCATTAAGAGATTTTTTTATTTCTGCTGGAACTGGTTGAGATACATCCAGGTATTTATCGCAGGGAAACAGGTCTTTTCCTGAAAATAAAAAGAAATTATCCTTTGATTTGAAGAAATGTTCTTGTCATTTTCCACAAAAAGTTTAGGGTGCAGCATAGCTCCATCCATAGTAATCAAAATCCGTCTCAGATGTGCAGAATGAGGAGGATCTCCTGGGTCATGTTATGGTCCACTCCACTAAGACACGGGGATCCTTATAATTAGCAGTGATGTATATACATCATATATCCAGACTGTGCTTCTATGTTCTGTCCTGATGTTCTTACTACAGAAGCTGGTTTTGGTACAGCTACCCTGCAGATAAGTACACCATCTCTTGTCACAGTGAGGTTAAAAGAGTGCTACAGAACTAGTCACCCTGTACAAACTGTAGTTACAGCCTGTATGTCTGATCTTCGTGGCCTTTCCTGCCTTTGAATGCTTAAAAGAAGAGCTCTGTACTTAGTGGTCACCTAGCGACCGTGTATACAATACAGGAGTGTTTTTTCTCTTTTTCAAGTTACTACATCTTGTGAGCTGCTATTGAGTGTCAGGCTATAGATGAAGTTTTTCCTTTTTTCCAGTGCAAATCCACAGATATAATGGCAAGCTTTTGTACATTTAAAACAAAAGTATCAATAGATTTGACCTCTTGTAATTTTATTTCTGTAGGTACAGAAAAACAATGTTCTGTATTTGATTGCTGGTTACCCTGGCTACATTTAAGTACGTCTGTGTTTTGTTATGGTTTTAAACACTGCATAACATTAGAACTATTACACAATGATTTCATTTTACTTCCATGCTAATTCCTACAGGCTTCAATAGAAATGTACACAAGAAGCAGGATTTAGTGCTAGATTTACAACATATTTAATTGTCCTCTTTAAACACACAGCTTCTATGATAATAATGAGAAGATTTTCAACTGTTTTTGAAGATTTCTGAAGCCAGTGTTGAAGAATAGTTATGGAAAGAAGCTGGTCTGTGTAATTAAGATAATTAAGCCTAAAATCACCCTTTATATTCAGGGTGCGAATAAAACTGCAACAGAAGTTCACTAACTAAGAAAATGTATCTTGACAAACAAAGCTTTCGAGAAGTTGGGGAAATTAGCAAGCTGAAAATGTAGAAAATACTGGAGTGTCAGTGCTCTCAAGAAAGATTATCTATGAGATTGCCTTACCCTTCTGGCTTCAAAACGGATGCAGCTTCACTAGAAATAGTAGGAGAGATGTATGTAAGAAACTGAGAGTAAAGCAATACACGAGCAGCATTTTAAGACTGGGTGAGGTTGCACTCCATAGACAGAAGTCTAGATGTTTTCCAAAACTTCAGGTGTTTTCTAATACTAACGTGGCAGGGTTAGTGTGTTGGGATTTAATTATGATGCAGTGCTTGGCTTTAGTGTTGGAAAAAATCTGAATTGGTTTAGAAGTATAGCTCTCATGACTGAAACTATGCATTCTTATCACACAACTAACCTCTATGCTTATGTTTTCTTTCTGGAATGCATCCATTCAATAAAGATTGAGTACTCAAGACATCATAGGAAAAGATGTGAAAATGAACATATAATAGAAGCTGGACTGTGTTCTTTTGCATGCTATTTATTTACATTAAGATATTTCTTATAACCCAAGGCTGTGTTTTCTAGTATTTTATTTTCTGTTGACACGTTTCATTTCTGGCACTTGTCTGTTGATTAGCAAAATACCAAATACTTGGGAAAGGACTTAGCCTAGTTTTCATTCTACAGTTTAAATCAGATGAGAAGCAAGAATCATCTTGCATTTATTGCATTCTGCCTTTCTTCATGAATCCATTGCTGGGAAGAGAGAAAACTGAAGGTATTTGTTCTAACTCATGCTTCCTTAGCTGCTCACTTTCACTCCTAGACCTTTCTTTCCATTAAAATGATGGAACTGCTTTTGCATGAGAATTATTTGAACTGGATTATAGAATTGATCCAAGTTAAATATGTATTGTTTATAATCCCTTTAATCCGACTTGCCTTGATTTAATATTGCAGTGTGCTGCAGGAGGTGGTACAGTAGAGAGGGAATGGAAGGGACTAAGTAACATGGCATTGTTGAGGGAGTAGGGACAGAAAAATGCTTATCAATCCTACAGCCATTTGGAGATTGTGTTCCCTGTGGAGACAGTGTTCCCTGTGCAATTTTGAAGGAACAGTACCTAGCTGAAGAGAACTAGAGGACAGGTCTTTCTGAACAGTAACACAAGGGAAAGTCATTTTTTTCCTAGGTGGGAAAAGCAAAAGATTGTTATATTTATGGGACTTCTTCAATAATATAACTTGTAAATGTGCAGATGGAACGTCCTCATGGTTGTGTGTGTGTGTTAGACTGACTTAAAAAAAAAAAAAAAAAAAAAACAAACCTAAAATATAGCTAGCTACATCCTGAGACTTGTTCCTCAGTGCTGAGTGCAGAACCTTAATCATCAATGATGATTAAGGATGATTAAGGGAAAATGAAAGTAATCTTAATCTGTTATTTGTAATGTCCCTGAAGAAGGTGACAGTGGGATCTGATTGCAGCTCCTTCTATACTTTACCTCTCCCCAGCCTCTAGGTATACTTTCATTTGATGGCTTTGTCTTGTTTATTAACATGTACTCTCAATGCAATAGTTTTTGTGGGGAAGAACATGTAGTCTAGCAAGGAAGAACATTGATAGCAATTTCAAAAACAGCTTTATTACATTTTGCTAACTAAACAAAGACGATGACAGTTGCAGTTGGAGCATAGAGAGTATTTCAGTTTCATTTAAACAGCAGCGTGTGGTTGCTACAATGGTAATTTTAACCAAACGGGAAAGGAAAAAAGAATCCTACAAAAACTACAGTCACTACTTTCTCCAGCATCTCACAATATAGAAAAACTAGCCATTTCCGTAACATTTCTGGATATTAATTAAATTTTCTTTTGCCTTAAGCTTTTAGGAACTTGAAAAAGCAATGAACAAGAGTGGTTTAGACAGATACAGAAAAATAAAGTTCTACTTGTTCAGATTCAGGTAAATCAGGCTGAGCTTAGCCACTTTTGTTTGTCTTATTTTCAATCTTGAATCTTTCTTAGTCTAAACCAGCTGAAGAGTGTTCTTAAATAGCCATTAGTGGAGTGGGAATGATACACAACACCCCATAACCACAGAGCAGGTGAGTGTTGTCTGTTCAAATAATCTCTCTAGCCATCAAGAGGCAGACAAATTTAATATAATTTATTACTTATTTTTAAAACTTACTAAGAACACTTATTTTTACTTTTCAAATACATGGTTAAAATTGTACGCTGGCACTTTGTGAAGAGTTTCTCCTCTGGTTTTTCTTGAGGAGAATAAAGCAATGGAAGCCCTGTTCTTCCTTGAAAGCTTCCAAAAGCTTCAGTAAAGATGACTAGCTTTGCAGGAAGCCCTGAAGATCAAATAATCTGTCCTGAATTTGGAATTTCTTCTTACATCAGCAATTGGCTTTGGCTCAGATTTTTTATCTCATTTTTAAACTTTAATGGCTTCAAGCATTTATGAATGGATTTTTTAAAAGCTGATTGCAGTGAATGCTACCTTAGCTTGTTTAAAACTCGCCATTTTTCAGCATGCAACTTTCACTCACAATAAAATCAAAATAATCTTTTAAGGTGTAGTGAGTATTTTCATGGAATCTAGAAGCTCTTGTCCAACTGGGAAAAGCCTGAAACAAGTATTCCTTATGCATAATTAAAGAAGAAATGAATACCACTTCTGTGCTATTTTTATAGGAAAACATGTTAAAGAGTTAGTAATAAATACGAATCTAGGTCTGATTTTTTTTTTTTCTTTTTAAAATAACAAAAGCTGCTGGTCATAAATGGAAATTAACTTCTTTCTTAGAACAGTTATTTAATTGTACAACTTACTGTGAGTCTTTATTTTAACACAGATATTCTGTGTGCTGAGTCTGCCATCTGCTTTTCCTTCAGGGTGCGTGGAGAAGAAAAACAAATCAACAAATCATGTGGATACCCCAAAAAATAAACAATACTTGAATCAACTGTGCACGATGACAGCACAAAACCGAAAAGATATTCACTTTGGAAGAGCAACCTCTTAAAAGCTCTCTGAAATTTTGTGACTGCTTTGTCTTTTGCCTTCACTGTGGTCAGTATAGGCGAATAATTAAAATAGCTGAATTTGAAACATCATAGAGTGTCTGAGAGTTAAGGCAGCTAACAAAGATGTGGTTTTTATCATAGCAGCAATGCAACAGCCTTTGAATGTCACATGCTGCAGCCACAAAAAGAAGAGTATTGCCTTGAAACCTGTCACCTTACCTGAGCTCCCATGTCATTCTCAGTTGTTTTGTATTGTGCTACTTGTCTTTAGGAAAATCTGTAGGCTAGTGCTTGGGAAGTTGACTTAGAGTTTACTCAGGGTCTGGTGTAAGAGGAATTTATACAGGCTGCTGCTGTAGCCCTGTTGGACTGTTCTGTGGGTATCACTGTAGCGCAGAAAGATCAGGATTGAGAGAAGGCAGATGAAGGTCATAACAGTAAAGTGTTGCTATATGAGGGTTATTCTTTGTGACATCTGTTTTTAAGTATATATGAAACTACACTGTAGAGCAAGATTCCATCTCAAAGCTGAGATATCTGTTGCCAAAATTCATTTAAGAGAGGGCAGGGCTGGCTGCAGGGCTCGCCCGTTTCTCTACCACGAGAAGAAAAAGCTGATGCTTCTGAGATTTTAAGTATATGTGATGTCAGAATAAATAGCAAACCATATAAGTGGATACCCAACTTTATTCCACTGGCTTTCAGCCCACCTCAGAAGCAAGGTTTGGCGACACCGCTCTCCCTTGCTGCTTCCCCTCTTGCCCGGGCCCCGCCCCTGCGGCTGCTCCAGTCCCGCCCCGGAGCAGCAGGCGATGACCATTGGGCCCCGCCCTTCTTTCATTTGCATAGAGGGGTGGAGTCCGCCTCAGGCCCCGCCCCTCACGGGTGTGCGGCCGTGCGCGCGCTGTTGTGGCACGTGAGGGCGGCGCACGTGGGCCCGTTATGTAAAACACGGGGGCCGAAGGGGCGGGGAGGCACCTGAATGCTGCGCAGGCGCGCCGGCCGCCCACTGCCGCGCATGCGGAGTAACTCAGTGCGCAAGCGCGCGGGATGAGGGGCGGGGCCGAGTGGCGCTGGTTGCCCTCCTCTCGCGCCCCTCCCCCGGTCAGACGGCGGAGGTCTCGAGCGACAATGAAGCAGGAGCCGCAACAGCAGCAGCAGCCGCCGGCCCATCAGCCGCCCCCCGCCGGCGCCGGGGTGCCGGCCTTCCTCAGCAAGCTGTGGGCGCTGGTGGGCGAGGCGCCCAGCAACCAGCTTATCACCTGGAGCCAGGTGCGGCGACGCGAGCCTCGGCCGTTGGTCGCCCCGCCCCGGCCGTGTGCCCCCCGGCTGCGGGAGGCAGCTCCCCTCTGGCAGCGGCGGTGCGGGTCCGGGGGCAGCGGGGGCCGGGAGGGGAGCGGGGCCTTAGGGGGCTTCGGTGGGGCGGCGCGGGGCGGGAAATCCAGGCACTGGCGGGCGGGCCCCTAGCGGGAGGAGCGACCCCGGCGCGGTTATCCGGGGACCGCGTGCGGCTGGAAGTGACGAGCGCGGGTGGCGGCCCGGGGCCCGGGCCCTGCCGCCGGCTGCAGAGCCTGCCGGGGCGCGGCTGGGGCGGGGAGCCGCCGCGGGGCACGGGTTGGGGCTGGGGCTCGGGCGGCGCGGCCGGCGCCGGCACGCGGCGTGCGCTGACAACGAGAGGCACCTTCCGCCGCGGCTTCGCCGTCTCGTCTGTAGCGCCTGGAGTTGTGTAACGGCTGCGAATTGTGTAGCTAAAGAACAGCGGGAAGAAGGGAGAAGGGCGTATTTACATCCCTCCCCGCGGCCGCCCCGCTCCCCCATCCCATGCGGCCACGTGGGGTAGTAGTTGCCGCGCTCGGGCTGGGCCGGCCGCGGCCACCTGCTCGCGGTGTAATTGCGGGGCTGCCCCGCGCCCGGACCGTAGCGGCCTTTGTTCTGGTGGCCCGGATGTGTTGTGCACCTTCAGTCGACGGAGCCGGGCGGGCATCACCTCTGAGGGAAGTGTCTGAGTGCCTGGCAGGTTTGGGCGCGGGACGAGGGCTGCTGCTTTCAGTTGCCTGATGTCGTGGGTCTTGTAGTTAAACCTGTAGTTACCATTCTGATGCGTGTGTGCTTTACCGGGAACTTATTCTTAAAAAAAAAAATAAAAAAAAATCCCATTCTCGCACCGTGATGGTGTCTTCAAGTGCTGAGATAACAGTTTTCAGTTGAGTTTAGCTCATGCGGTGGCTCAGTACCCTGCAAAATGTTTTACTGACAGTTGGGCTTACCAGTAGCTTAAGCTTTGTTGAGGAGGGAACAGGTTCCCCAAAGAAGTTGTGGATGCCCAATCCCTGAAGATGTAAAGCTGGGTGTCTCCTGTCCAGGGTCAGCCTAATCTAGTGAGTGCCAACACTGCCTGCAGCAGGGGGTTGGAACTAGATGGTTTTTAAGGTTCCCTCTAACCTAACATTGTATGGTTGTATGCTGTCTACACTACAGCAGCTTTCCTTCTGTTTTTGTTTTTGTTTTTTTTCCTCCTCTGAAAGAAAGGTGCTGAGGCCAATGTGTTTTCTAGCTTTAAAAAGGCCTTTTTGCCACCTCATGCTCCATGGATGCTTCCCAAATTCATCATGTTTACCTCAAGTGAATATGCTAGGGACCATTGTTTGGTACTTTTATGTTATTTCCTCAATTGAAAATGGAGGCTGAATTTGAGATTCTGCAAGGCAGTTTATGGAAGGAAGGTATACTGATTGTAGTTTGTGCAATCAGCCTTTAGCAGTTTCTGTATGCATGAAGATATTGGGAGCCCTTCATATGCAGATGTTGGCATATTTGAAAAATATGCTGCCTCAGTGAAGAAAGAGTCCTGTTATTGTGGCATTTCATTGTTTTTTTTCTGTACAAATCCATATTTTTACACTGTGAGGATGAACACTGAAGCAAAACCAGCCAAATCTTGTCTTCCTGCATATATGTCTTAGTGCAGGCATGGGCAGCAGGAGTAACAAATGAAGTGCATAGATTGTTGTCTGCTGCTGTCAGTAACAACAGGACTTGAGAACGGTGTTCAGGTACACAGCAATGCTTCACTGAGTTAAAGCTAGGCCTTAGCGTCTGTTTACAGCATTGATGTAAGTGACTGTTGGGGCAACGAGGAACAATGGAAGTATCTTTCTAATTTTCTGCAAAAGGTTTGAAACTTTTCAAGCTGATAATGAAGTTAGGTGCTGCACAAAAGCTGTCTGCTGGCATTGCAGGTTGCTGTAGCACCACTTAAAACCTTCAGCTGGTGAGTTAGGTTATCTTAAAATGATCTGTTCTTACCCTTTCTTTTACTTCCTATTTTCTTTACACTGCCTATTTCTCAGTGGGAGATAGGCATGCGTTACTGGGAAGTTAAGAGGTTTTTCATTTGTTAGAAATAAGTTCCCATATCAGCAATCTTCACGTGGTCTCGTAGTTGGTTCTTTACACTTCTTTATTGGGGAGCATGCAGCTGATGGGGATAGGAAACAAGTGGAGCTTCTTGAATTGAAGGGCTCCTGAAAAGATGGAGCATAAGTACTGGCGTTTGACAAAGATTATAGGTGAGGTAAGAATATTGTGAATAGATTACAGATAAAACCTCTGCCAGTTTGAAGTCTCTAATTCTGATTCTGCCAATTACTTGTCCTTTAGTTAATGGAGCAAGATTATGGAAGAACAAAGAACGGAGGCTTCTATTTGTCTCGGTCTTTGGATATAATTTGAGGATCAGTTTATTGTGTAAAAGATTGATCCTCTCAGAGTTGGCATGCAGAAGGAGGGAATTATTGTCTTGAGTGCTTTTTGGTCATTTTGAAATCTTGTGGACAGGCTCAGCTTTTTGACAGCTCTATCTTGTCTAAGAGTCTTAACAAACCAGTCGTACTTTTATGCTGGGTAGCAAAAGGGATTTCAGCTGTGATTTGTTGGTTTTTTTGTCCTGTTTTGTTTTTGACCTTTCACAGTCTCTGCTGTATTTGTATTCCCTCTCAAGATTTTAAAGTTCATACCTACAAAATTTATGGCGTTGTGCTGTAATGAAACTGGTGCTTGTTGTTAAACTTGTCGTTAATTAATTTCTTGAGGAAGAGTGGAGAGAAGCAATGGGAATGTTCTCCTTTAGATATGGATGGCAAGTAATTGCTAGTGCTCTGTTGCAAAGCAACTGCAGTTATACGCTTTTGTTGTGGAAAACTGCAGACAAGCAGATCAGTTACGTACTGCATGCACAAAGGAAACATTCCTATGCAGTGATTAATTTTGCAAGCCCAGAGTGTGTTCTACAATAGTCTTAAGTAGCTTTATGTCTCTCATTTTAGAATGGCCAGAGTTTCTTGGTGTTGGATGAACAGAGATTTGCAAAAGAGATTCTGCCTAAGTACTTCAAGCACAACAACATGGCAAGCTTTGTCAGACAGCTAAACATGTGTAAGTTCTCCTATTTTGTTTGTGTCTGTCACAGTTAAAGATTCTGGATGCCTTTAGTTGTGTTATTTTCTTTTGAAGAGTTCCTCTGTGTTGTCGCATTTAGAGTACTGTGTATCCTCAAGACTGATAAAAGGACAGTTGGAACAATATAGTTTGAATTCCTTTGTGTGAGTTTTCAGATAGGAGTTTTTTCTTTTCTTTTTTTTTTTTAAAGATGGCTTCCGTAAAGTTGTCCATGTTGATTCTGGGATTGTCAAACTGGAGCGAGATGGTCTAGTTGAGTTTCAACACCCATATTTCAAGCAGGGTCGAGAGGACTTGTTGGAACACATTAAAAGGAAGGTTAGTGAAAACTCAGTATATAAACCAAGTAATTTTAGTAATTTTAAATGAACAGCAGAGTTCATGGCAAGTTTTAATTGTGGGATTGTAAGTCCAAGTTGATTTTGGTGCTCTCATGCAAGTTCTGATTTATTTAAAGTTATTTTAGGGGCTTTGACTAGACTGCTTTAGATAATTATTTCTCTCTCATAGTGAGTTTAACAGGCAGCAAAAATGAGTTATGCAAATAGAAGGTTCAACAGATGCATGTTAAGAGGCGCAACGTGCTTTAACTTTACCATTCCTAATGTAACAATTTATTTTTATGTACCTTGTTTCAGAACATAGCTACTGCAAGAAGTAAGCTTCCTACTCAGGAGAGCTGGAAGCAAATACATAAACATATTTGTTATACTGCTGTTACATTTCTAAAACTTGCTCTGCTGTTACTGAGAACTAGGTGAATAAGAGTAGCTATCAAGCAGAAATACAATTACTATGGTGAGAGAGAGATGCTTGTTAGCCTTGGGTTAATTTGAAGTAGTTCAGATGTAGAGCACTGTCTACTGTGCCTGGAGAATCTGAACATAAACAAACACTTATAACAAGTATGGGTGATATGGCATCTGTTGTAAGAAGTCTCTTCATTTCTGTATTTACGTATTTGATGCCGTGGTTTATTACTGATTTTTTAATTTGGTTATCAGCATTAGAGAGGTTATACTGGATCTTCAAAAGAAAATAGTAATTATCAGTGAGTAAAGGGAAGCGTTGTTTCTGACTTCTCATCTCTTAAAGGTTTCTTCTTCGAGACCTGAAGAAAACAAGATAAGCCAGGAAGATC